ACAAACTTAGGTGAAGTTTTATTATCCAAAATATTTAGAAAATTGGCCTCCCCCCTAACCTTGTGAGTCTGATCCATTATTGTATCTCCTTCTTCTCCATGGCCATAAATTAAAATGGGAAATTAATTGAGTCCTTCTCCTTTGCTAGAGGAATTTGTCAAGGAGGTTTTATTTCTCCTTATATTTTCATTTTGTGTATGGAGAAGCTTGTTCATTTAATTAATGACAAATTTCTTACAATGAATGGATTACTTTTTCTCATAGTAGTCAGGGTCTCAAAGTGTTCCATTCTTTGCAGATTATATAATTTTGGTGTCAAAAGCAAACATCTATAAAGTAAAGTGTATTCAGGATATTCTGTGCAAGTTCAATGAGGCTTCTGGCCTTAAAATAAATAATCAGAAGTCATCTATATTCTTCTCTAAAATTGTTGATACTGCCCTTAGTACCTCTATAGCTGAGTGCTTAGGAATTAAGCCTTGTAATTAGTTAGAAAAGTATCTTGGGATTCCTATTGTCACTAATAAGCCTTCTAAAAACCAGTTTTTTTTTCTTATTGATAAAATTAAGAATAAACTTTCCTTATGAAAGATGAACTCTTTGTCTTTAGCATGGAGAGTAAATTTAGCTCAGTCTTGTCTTTTAAGTATTCTTGCATATGTTATGGAATCTCTCATTATCCTAACTTCTAAGTGTCAGAAAATTAATAATATTTGCAAGAAATTTATTTGGGGATCCCTAAGTAGCAGGAAATGCCACCTTATTAGGTGGGACAAAATCTGCGTTCCCAAAAATGAGAGTGGTTTGCCTTTCAAAGACTTGAATAATCTCAATAAATCTTTTATGATGAAGTTGTGGTAGAGGCTGCCAACTTCCACCCCTGATGACCTTTGGGCCTAATTTCTTATTTATAAGTATAAATTTAGATTAAGGAGTGATAATTACCTTAGAAATTATGGTAGAACCTCTCATTTGTGGAAGGGCCTTTTGTAGGTTTGGCTGAATTTTACTAAGGGCCTTGGTTGGATTGTCAGGGATGGCCTGTCCACCAAATTCTGGATTGATAACTAGGCTCCAAAATTTAGGAAACTTTCAGATTATGCTATTATTCAAATTCATAGATCTGATTTAGATCTTCTTGTTAATATGTTTACTGATAAGGGTGAAAGAGAGTGGGATAAATTGAACCATGATCTTCCTGCCCAAATATGTTAGTCCATTAATCTTATTTAGCCTCCCATAAAGTCTTAATTCCTAGGATGTTGTTTTTTGGTCCCTAATCAGTAATAAAGTTTTCTCCATCAAATCTGTCTACCAGATTTTGATTCTGTCCCAATACAAACCTTATGAGAGTAGGGACCAGGAGCTTTTCAAAGTTGTCTGGAGGTGGGGTGGTCCTCCCAAAATTGCCTTTTTCCTCTGAAAATTGGCTCATGGTAAGTTATTGACTAATGAGGAAAGAGTCATAAGGAAGATGTTTAACTCCCCTTTATGTCCTAGGTGAGGGGATACTTAAGAGTCTATAATGCATGTTGTTAGAGATTGCTATTATGCCAAAGATGTTTAGAGTTATTTTATTTTCTGTTATCAGTGGGCTAACCTTTTTAGAACTGAGATTTCTTCTTGGTTAAAAAGTAATATCTCCTCCACCAATCATAGCAGGTTTCCAAATTGGAAAATATTTTTTGAAACTATTGCTTGGTATATTTAGAAAGATAGAAATGATCTCATTTTCCAAAACAAATCCTTCAATCCAATAATTTTTTTGCTGTTAAGCCCAAATTTGATGTTGATTTCTTGTCTTTATATTTCAGAGCTTTGGAGTATTCTTTTTGGTAATCAACTTGCCAACCATGTGAATTGTCCAATTGTTTGGATAAAGTCAGATTCTAAAGAGGCAATTGGCCTCATCCTCAATTTGTAGTCTGCTTTGCATCCTCTATTTTCTTTAGTTTGTAAAATTAGAGAAGTTATAAAAGCTATTAAATTTGTTAGGCTTTTACATATATGTAAAGAGACATATGGTTGTACTTACTTCCTAGCCAAACAAGGCTTAGACAGACTATCTCCCTTGGTCCAATTCACTGACCTCCTTGTTCCCTTTTCTTATAAAAAAAATTAATTTTATAAAAACTTTTGTTTAAAAATACTTTACTTAAAAAAAATTTTAAAAATATTTTTATTCAAAACTTAATACTCACATTGTAATGAATTGGATATGTGCAAATTGTGTACTTTGACAAGTGAATATTGTGTACAAGACTTTGCTTTAGTCTAACTTTTAGCACAATGAATTCGAGTATCAAATTACGCTTGGTCCGATGGTTGTCTTATTTGACACACTAAAAGTAGTAGGTTAGGTTGAATGCTTTGATCCTATTGGCATGTTAAACTTATATCATTTTTTAGCTAACCAAAATGTAGACTACAGTAAGTTGGTCTATTGGCTCATTTTTAATTTTAATAATTAAATATATTTATTTATTAATTAAATATTAATATAAAATATTTTATAAATACTTTTTATTATTTTTTCTATTTTTTATTAATTTTAGATGGATTAATCTATTAACTCATTGATCCATCACTTTATTTATCTTTGACAGGCTGACTTGTTAGCCTACCACGCTACCTTCAAATAGGTTAAACTAGAAAATTTATTTTATTTTCTAAACATAATGAGGCAAATTAGTCCATTTTTATGACTCTTACTCACAAGCACGACTGCTTAATAGTAGTAACAAAGCTTAATTTTGTTTATAGTTGTTTGTTTTGAATTTATCTTAATAAGTATAACAAAAACTCAATAATTTTTTTTATCTGAACTTGCTTATTTTGCACCTATTTTAATAATATTTAAAATTATAAGATGGGAGAAAAAATTATCATTTGAAACAAATTATTCTTGCTCATTTTTACTTATAAACTTCTTTAAAGAACTTTTAAATGACGTAATTATTCTTTGTTGTAACATGTACTTGTATTTAGAGACCTTACTTAGTTGACATAATAGAATATAAAAAAATGTAATATAAAAATTAGATTATAATGTAATCGAAGTAAGGTAGGTTATTGTGTTATTTTACATGTATATTAAAATGATAAATTAAAGGGATAATTATCTTTTAATCCCTATACAAGACCTCTTTTTATAATTTAGTTCTTATAGGTAAAAAATTTGTATGCTAATCTTTATATGAGAATTTATTTTTAATTTTATTTCTGCTTACAATGACATTAGCTCTTTCATGTACGTGACAAACGACTATTCAACGTGACAAGTTTAAATTATCTTTTAGTTTTTATACAATTTTTTTTATAATTTAGTTTATATAGGTAAAGAAAATTGTACAAAAATTTATTTTTAATTTTGTCTTTATTGTTTCGTATAAGTGTCAAATAACATTTTTTAATATCATTTTTAGAGAAGTATTCCAAATTCTTTAAGGAAGCTTCATATTCATTTTCATACCTTTTCAATTCACAATGTCAAACTTCATTGTACAAGTTAATGCATTTTCATTTTAAACTTGTGTAAGAATAATTCTGGAAAAAAAGATTGTCTTAATTATCTTTATATGAGAACCACTTCCAATATTTTTATCTCAAATATCACTATTTATCTGTTCTATTAATAATTCTCATTCCTTCTCTTATAATCCTTATCCTAATGTTATTTTTTTTAATATAGCCAATTTGTGATATAAATAAATAAAAATAATTCTGATTTTCTTACAAATGTGTCAAGGATATTAAGAAAGAAAGTGATTGACTTTGAGCATGACTCAGAGAGATGTGACTGAGATTCAAGATAAAAATGATATGAGAATGAATGAAAATTATGATAAGATATGATGAAACACACAAATAATGATACCGGAGATGATGCTCATGTAAAGACAAATCAAGATATAAAATTAGACTTAAAAAAGTATGAAGTAGAATATGAGACTTATTTGAAGAATTCAGAATACTTCTTAAAAAATGATAGAGAAATATTACTTTGACATTAATATAAAATTATTACCACAACAATATAGATAAAATTAAAAATAATTTTTTATATAGGGATTAATATACAATTTTTTTACTTGTATAAACTAAATTATAAAAAGATATTATATAAAAATTAAAAAATAATTTAAATTTGTTATGTTGAATAGTCGTTTAATGATAGAAAAGAGATAATAACATCGTACACGACAAGGATAAAAGTAAAAATAAAATTTTATATAAAAATTAATATACATATTTTTTTATCTTCAAAGACTAAATTATAGAAAGATATTTTGTATTGAACTAAAAGATAATTTATTCTTAAATTAAATATATTATATTACTTTATCTAATTTTTTTCTCAAAATTTCATAGAATAAATTTTACATCACAAAAAATGATAGAATAAAGTTATAAAATAAACTTATAATTTCTCATTAGTATAACAATATAAAAAATAAAATAAAATAATTATCCCTAAAAATGTCGGTGTTGTTGATATGAATAGATTGATATCCCTAAATGATGATGGTTATACGATATCAGGTAATGCGGGTTAAATAAACACGAGTTCCAAATAAGATTTTTTTAAAAAATATTCTTAAATAAGTTCAAAATTTAGAAGCAATTTTCTTTGTACTTCACTCATTATTATCAATAAGTCGGCATGTTAATTTAGAAAAGGAAATCGAGAATTAAAACTTGAGTTAAAGTTCAAAATATATATGAAAAAGATGGAAAAGATTTTTTAATTTAGCGATCAACCGCAAATCGAAAAACTAATATTTTAGTATTGGGTGAAGGAATTTTTTAATGAAAAATAATTAATTATTGTGTAGACTTACAGTTTTGCATACGTAATATTCTTCCTCCGCATGGTGCAAGTCATAAGCAGAGCCGTAGTTTATTTATGATTTAATAATATGGAAAAAGATACGGCGTCGTAACATCCCGTCATAGATTTAATCGTTTCATTGCCATTTCCGCACCATTAAACAGTCTCATTTGGTTCAGTCACACACCCTGTCAGTGATCAATCTTCACTCTCATTCCATCGTTCTTTCTTGATACAAAACTCATGGCCAAAGACCCAGTTCGTGTTCTTGTCACCGGTGCTGCAGGTACTCTTTTCATAATCATCGCTCTTACTTTCTTTTTGGTTTATTTCGCCTCCATCTCTCATTTTGGATTGCTTTCCTGCTAATGAATTCTGGGTTTGTGTCAAAATGATGTCTTCCTTTGGTTTTCGATCAGATCTCATCCTATCATGTTTCATGCATTAGAGTTGTCATTTAAAGCTTGAGACTGTTTTTTTTTTTTTTTTGGTTTAGAATGGTGGATGGATAATTGGTTATTTTCATTCGATTTGCCTGGTTTATATTCAAGCTGGTATATTGTTGGGTCGATTTCTCTTGTTTTGTACTTTCCTCAGTCAATGAATAAGAAACGTACAGTTCTGTGGTTTTCAGTGTGGAAATTTGACTTTGTAAATTTCCTGTAAAGATTTCAATGGTTTTCCCTTCATTGGATTGGAATTTGAAAATAAGCCCCTAATCATTTTGAATGGTAAACTGCTGTGCCGATTGTAGGACAAATCGGGTATGCTCTTGTCCCTATGATTGCTAGGGGAGTGATGCTGGGCCCTGATCAGCCTGTGATCCTCCACATGCTTGACATTCCACCTGCGGCGGAGTCGCTGAATGGCGTTAAAATGGAGTTGGTGGATGCTGCATTCCCTCTTCTCAAAGGTTTGAGTTTATGTGAACTTCGTAGATAATCCATCTGGTACACTTGTCTGGGTAAACCCCTGCTTTTTAAGTGATCCATGAGATTATGAAATTATTTGATTCAGGTGTTGTTGCTACAACTGATGCTGTTGAGGCTTGCACTGGGGTCAATATTGCTGTAATGGTTGGGGGGTTCCCTAGAAAAGAAGGTATGGAGAGGAAAGATGTGATGTCGAAAAATGTCTCTATTTATAAATCCCAGGCTTCTGCTCTTGAAAAGCATGCTGCTGCAAACTGCAAGGTGATCTTTTAAATCTGAGTCCTAAGGCTTTTCCCTTCATGGATTTTTATTTCCACTACATATTATGTCAAAAAAACATGTTGAATTTTTATACCCCCCTCCCCCCCAGTCTTCTGTGTGGTGATTGTAGAAGTAAAACCAATATATTATTAACATCTAGATTGTTCTAATTTTGTGCCAATGAAGAGATTTGGAGTTAGCATATATGTTTATCCTTGCATTTATGTTGAATTTGTGTACTTGAGATGGGAATTTTTACTTGAATAAGCTGGTATATTGTTTGAAAGATTACACATATTTGATTTGTGTACTTGGATCTCGTATGCTCATATCCTTGTGATTCCATCCTGATGAAATACGTCTCTTCTCTTTACAGAAAATCAGTACTTACATTATATATGCTTTAAGAAAATATTTTTCTTGGAATATTTACAATTCTTTAGACTCTACTATCATGCAGGTTCTGGTTGTTGCTAACCCAGCAAACACTAATGCATTGATCTTGAAGGAATTTGCTCCATCCATACCTGAGAAAAACATTACTTGTTTGACTAGACTAGATCATAACAGGGCACTGGGTCAAATTTCTGAAAGACTGAGCATTCAAGTTTCTGATGTAAAAAATGTTATAATTTGGGGCAATCATTCATCAACTCAGTATCCTGAAGTCAACCATGCAACTATTGTAACCCCTGCTGGGGAAAAATCTGTCCGTGAACTTGTTGCTGATGATGCCTGGTAAAATGGAAGGACAAATACCATGAATTACAATTTGAACATAATTGATTATTTTTTATTTTGGGTTAACTAAAGCATAGATGTAATTTTCCATTATCAAGGTTGAATTCAGAATTCATAACTACCGTTCAACAAAGGGGTGCTGCAATTATTAAAGCTAGAAAGCTTTCAAGTGCACTATCTGCTGCTAGTGCTGCCTGTGACCACATTAGAGATTGGGTTCTCGGAACTCCTGAGGTTTGTTATGTCTTGCTAAATATTTAATTTAAATTTTGTATAATGTGTTCAGCTTAGCTTTATTTTTTCATTGCAACGTCAGGGAACTTGGGTATCAATGGGAGTTTACTCTGATGGATCTTACAATGTGCCAGCTGGACTGATCTATTCATTTCCTGTCACTTGTCACGACGGGGAATGGAAAATAGTTCAAGGTAAGAGTTCGGTCAATCAATGGCTAGAATGTGCTTTATTCTACTCTAGTAAATATATGTTTTGGGTAGTCAAATGAGAGTGCACTTATCCCAGTCAAAGAATAACTGTTGAGAAATGCTTGCTATGCCAAATTCAATTTCTCTTTTCTCAGGGCTTGTAGTTTGTGCTCAAGTATACACGGATTATTTAGGATGATTCTAAGGTCCTTCCTTTTTTACCAAAAGTAATAGAATTGTAAAAGTATTATATTCTGTATTAAATTGAATTGTAAAGTGGTTATATAAGCAAATTTTAAAAGAATTAAGACTGTTAATTATATTTTGTATTCAATTGTTAGGATTGAACTAGAAAAAGAAAAAACCAGGTGAGTAACCATTGTTAACATTTGTATATTTGGACTGTTCGACTCTGAATAATATGAGTTCTTGGTTTCATAGGTAGTTATTCCTTTCAAGCATAGGAGTTACAATATTGTTAACATTGATTAGGGCACCCAAAAAAATTAATAACCGACATTATTCATCCTGTCTTATTTATTCTGCACCGTCTGAGAAGATGAAACATCATTCTGAGAAGACAGAATTTGGAGAAGAAATATTACTTTGTATTATACTCTAACTCGCTGCTTTTTTCTCTGGCTATTAGAATCACTATAAATGGTTCTTTCTACATCAATTTTCACTCATAACCATAGTAGAAGAGAAGATGAAACGTGGTTGGGAGAAGATGAAAAATGGAAAAGATGTAAAAAAGGCAAAAACTTTCTACATTGGTTTTCTCATAGAACTGATTTAGAAAATATATTTATTTTTTAAAAAACGCAACTAAGTAGCATTTTTTTAAAATATATTTTTTACATTAGTTATCCAGATAATTGATGTAGAAACTAGTGATATAAAAAATATTACTTTCTACATTATTATCTTAAAGAATTGATGTAGAAATTTTTTTAAAAAAAACTACTATCTACATTAGTTTTACAAGAGAACTGATGTAAAAAGTTATAACTTTTCAAGATCTGTTTAATCCAAACTCTCTAATGGAGTTTGGAAAAATTAGATTCAAATTTTCAAAGTTTTCTAATTTTTTTTGTGTAAAGAAGTTTGTCATTTTTGAATCATTGATGGTGCTTAGCTGTGTAGTTGCGGGTTGAAGTAGAGGGTGAACAAATTCATATCGTATGAATGAGATGAAAATAACAGAGGAAGAAAAGGAAAAAAAGGAAGGTGAACAAATTCATATCATATGAATGAGATGAAAATAAAAGAGAAAGAAAAGGAGAAAAAGAAAGAAGACGACGAAGGACCAATATATATATGAAATTACTACTTTATCTTTTTATAAATGTAACTTGGATTACCAGTTTCTTGTCTTCATTTTTAACCATCCAATCTTAATCAACGGTTTATAATATTTGAAAACTTTTCAAAAAGATCTCTTCTAAACCAAAAAGAGAGAACCATAGAATTATCCAATAATTTAGATATAATTTGTTCTAAAGCAGTGTTTGGTTTGATGTATCTGATTTGATATCTCTAACTTTTTTAACCCAGGACTTCCAATTGATGAGTTCTCTAGGAAAAAATTGGATTTGACAGCAGAAGAGCTTTCTGAGGAGAAGGCTTTGGCTTACTCATGCCTCTCGTAGAGTGCTTGTTTCTTTCCAAAGTGTCATTGCAGGTTCCCTTGTTATATATATTCAATTTTGAATAACGCTCCTAAGCTACAGATAAACCGTTGATTAATGGCTTACTTTTTACATGAGATACTTGTAATGTCTAATCCCTTCTATGAGGATATTTGAGCTTTTATATCTTTATGCATGATAATATAAATAGGCCACTGGCTGCGCATTCAGCGGGGCTAGGCCTAACTTTAGTTGCACAAATTGCCATTCCAGGACTTCATTTTCTTTTTTTGGTGTGTAGTGTTTGCGTTCGTTTTTAATTTCTGATGTATTTGGAAATGCACGGGTTTGGCTGTATTTTTTGCTCCTAAAATTACATTTCACAAGAGGAAAAATATCATAGTCAATATTGAAAGTAATTAAATCTTTCGTGACTATGACACTCTTCTGATAATTTTTGTGTGACAGATAATCTAACACCACATCTAAAGAAAGATTATCATCAAATTAAAGTAAATAGGTGTAGTCAGCCCTCGATATGTCCCCTCAAAATAGATAGAATGAGTCGGGCGATAAAATATATAATGACCATTATTTGAAAGGAAGTTGACTGATACCCTTCAAACACGAACCACTGTCTCTAAATTTAAAAACGGATGGCATCTTGATTTTAATTAGAATATTTTGTGATTTTAATGTACTAAAATTTTAAAAAGTGAATATGCACATGTCTACTTATTTTAGAAATATTTTCACTTTGGACTCATGGATTCAAAAGGCTTTTTTTTCCTTCTAAAGTCAGGCTTAATCCTTGTAATACTGATACTAATAATTCATAAATTGCTCGTGTTATATTTGCTCTCAGAATTTGAATTTTACTAACTTTGTACACCGCCTACATAACTTGAAATGTTAAAAGTCATGTTTCAAATAAATGATCATAAAACTTTAAGGGTGAGAGAAATCAACCATATCTATCATTTTTATCCCTCACACGTAGGGGGAAGAGCTAAATCATTGCTGAGAGTTGTATAACAGCTTTAGAGGAAATATATAAATGTGACACTCTTGATTGATGAAAAATATAAAAGAGGGGCTACACTGAATTCGACAGTAATTACCAATATTAAATGAAATATAATACTCTGTCAATTTAATCGTAGCTATTAAAATTAGATCGAATCGATTGATTTGAATGAAAATTAATTACATAATCCATTCAATTAGTTCAAATAATAAGTAGAGTAGAAAATCAGTACAATAATCGAACAAAAATTGAGAAAGAATCAGTATAGAAAACTAGTTTGAATCAGTCTCTTCATAAAAAAATATCTTCTTTTTTCTTAATGCTTTTTATTCTACAATATGTTTCAAATAAATCAAGATTCATACATTATATCTACATTGAATTTTTTTTTTTATAGGCAAATGCTAACTTTAAAGCCTAAAACCAATTTTTTTTTGTCAAAAAATAATAAATATTTCTCTTTTCATGAAAAAATAAACTTTTAATTAAAAATTTGCACTTCTAATTTTTAAACTACTGTCTTACGAACACTGATTAGCAAAACTCGTTCTTATGTTTATTTATAAAGAGGTCTCTCTCACATTGAGCATGAATTGAATATTTTTATGTAAATGGAAAATAAAATTCATAGAAAAAAGCAACAATACCATTTAGTCAATCAAAATAAAAAGTCTTTGCTAAATAAAATTTCATTGGACTCTTTATTATAAATGACTTATTGTCACTGTTTTAGTTTATTTTTAAACTTGCCTCCATTCATGATAGTTGGATTTCGTGTTACGCATATTAAGACAAAAATTTATGTACAATATATTATAGATATAATTGATATTATTTTTTACTGGTTAAAAAATTATTTTTTTGTTAAAAATTACATTATAATATGTCAAAAGTCCACAAAAATATACTGAATATCATTTTTAATATTTTTTTACTTTCATTTTTTAACTAGTAATATTAGTTATCATTTATCTTATTTTAAATTAAACTCAATATTTTATCTCAGTAATTAGTATTAATGTTGCTTATTAAAATAAAAACAGTAGTTGTCAATATAAAATTTTAATTTTATCTCCAAATAATATTATATATTTATATATTATGAGTACTATTTTTCGAATGAAAGTATTTTTAAGAGTTAGTTTTATTTTTATAGTTTAATTTTTAATTTAATTTAATTTAATATATTAGAATATTTATTATTAAATATATTAAATTTAAAATAATCATACAATATAATTTTAATTTAATAATCTGTTTAAATTAATAAAAATTACTATTTTTATTTTTTTTGCTTTCATAAAAATTACTAATTTTACTAACTTAAAATAATCATACAATATTCTTTAGCTTGTGCGGTTGTGCCATTGTAACCGTTTTTTTATTTATTATTATTATTATACTTAATTTTATTACATCATTAGACTAAGCTAAAATGGACGTGACGACTCATTTTGGAAAGAAAATCATGTCACTGGATTCGAATCATACAATAAAGTAGCAGCATGACTTAGAAGATAGATGTTAATGGTTACAGACGATGACTAAATAGTAAAGAATAACATTGACTAACAAAAAGTGTAAAGAATAACGAGCTTCGTCATTTCAAAACTATTTTACATTAACCATTTTTTTATAAAAAGTTACAAATGAAGTGACATTATTTGTTTTATTGTAAATTTAATTTAATTTATTTTAAAGAAATATTTTTATTTATTTCTTTTTATTTAATAGATTTCTTTAATAAATAATTACTTTTAAAATTTCATCAAGTTTTCAAATAACTACTTTTCTCAACTTTTCATTTAGTTTGGACCTCAAATTAATCAACCTACTTTCTTTCATAAAAATTACAATAATTTTTTTAATTATAGATTTATCTGTTATAATTATAAAAGTCTTTATCTTTAATAAGAATTATGTTTTAATGCATATACAATTATGTTTTTACAATTTAATTTTTATTATTTATGTTTTGATTTTTATTATTAACAGTGTTAAAAATATTTTTTTTTGTTAAATATTAACATTTTATTAAAGACGAGCTTAGAGTAAAAGGTACTATAATCCGTTACAATTCTAAAAAAAATTAACAATACATATCAATAGATCATTAATCCAATTTACATATAGAATTGATCTTTCCAAAGGTTTGCTACAAGTCACTTCCAAGATACATATTCCAAACATATGATCCAAGCTTTGATTTCTTTATAAAATTATTTTTTATAAATTTAGATTGAGCCCATAACTTGGAGTTGTACTTCTTCTTTCTCGCTTTACGAAGTGTACTTCTAACATTAATTCTTTTCTACACTACCGCCTCAACAATAACATTGTATTAAAAGGAATCTAGTCCTTAACTTAATATGTGATTAGTTTTGTCTGATCCATGAAAAGGCCTAATAATCAGGCCATCAGTATTTTTGTTATAATCTTTCATCAACTCCTATATCTCACCAATTCCCTTCCTTATAAGTTTCAATTAACAAAGACCTACCTCGATTAGGCTCCTTTTTAATTTAAACGCATCATCACCCAATTGCACAATATCTACATTATTATTGAAAATAAGTCATTGTTGATATTTACTTCATAATTTGAATTCTCTCTCATTCATGCATATGCTACATTCTCCATAAAATTTGATTCCGTACTTTCAAATTTCTCCTGATATTATGCAATGTCTAGCTTGATATTGTGAAATGTCTGGCACGTAAGCACCTAATTTTGTCCTGATAATCCACACATATTCCCCTCCTTTGTGCTTTTCACACCCATCTTTGGTCATTATTTTTTTTATGTGCCCTGTTGTTAGATTATGGCATTTCTCACCATTATCTGAACTTTCATCCTCCAAAGCGTCATCCAATGAAGCATCGTTATAATTCTACAATGATGAAATATTTAAATCATGATACCACCACACTCTTTGAAAGAATTTTCTCCATGTTCCTCGACCATCCAGATTGAGAACACAAGACCATTATCTTTAGATCTTCACTAATCGGCGCATGTATTTGAGTTCGTAAGTGAACTCTAGCAAAATCCACATGTCTTCAAGAAGTCGTATCATCGTCTATGCATACAGAATCTTCCAGGTGACACCATTTTCTGAAGGAATGCTTTTGACCAAGCATGATATGACATATCTTACAAACGAACTCATGTTTCCCTATTAACAACCACCATACAGGATGCCACAAATCAATGGTATAAAACAGCTTAGACAAGTTATCTTTATATTATAACCTCCCCGAAATCCTCTAGACCCTCTAATTCCAACAAAACCATATCGTCACCCATGGTAATGGGCTTGACATTTAGTATGTATTCCGTACAAGGAAGTCAACCACGCTATTGAGCTTTTCTAGCTAGTGTAACCTTTCCACCACGGCCTTGCAACACTTTTCAACCGTATCCTAATCAACATGAAATTCGTTGTGACACCATTATTTTTTCTTAGGTACTCATACAACATTCTTATTTGGTCCTTCAACAACGCTCTTCCCCTTCATTATATCTACATAGCTTCGCCCACTAGCACTACCTCTCCCTTCCACCTTGGTCCCAACACTGGTAAATGGTTTTGACACCTTTGCACGTATAACATCTTGAGTTTGTCTCGTGATTTCTTATTTATTGTTAACTCTACTTTATTTAGATACATTCACTGTCATCCGCATATTGCTTATCATTATGAAATTCAATCTTTTTTCCATGTCATGAACATCTCCGACCTCTACAAACTGCACAAATCTGCGTCCATCCTTACCTTGTTTCTTTAGGATAAACAAATCTTCTACCTTCCTATGCCTCTAGAATATCTCTCATAGAGCTGACACTCCATGATTCTCCAGAAATTTTGTAAAAAAAAATGTTGGTAACATTTGTACACGACCAATATAATTGTTAAATTTTTCTTGAGATTTTCACTGTTGAGTTGTCACAATCACAACTGTCCATCCACCGTGAACCTCCACCCCCTCTCACTCTCATTTTGTAGTACAATGTAAACTGCTCTTCCTTAACACCTCTTCTTCTCCTTCGATCTCAACACTCCTGATCTTTATGATTCACCCCTTTTTCTCCTGCACTCAAACATCTCCAAAAAAGGATTCCCTCATCGATCCCTTCCTTCTCCTTTGATCTCAACACTCTTCAAGATCCCTACGATTCAAACCACTCTAATTCTCCTACACCAAACATCTCCAGAAAAGAATCCTGTTCTATTAGTGTTAAAAATATTATAACAATATGAAGTAAAACATAACAAATTATTTGTATAATGAGTTATAAAATGTATTTTTGAAGTGAAAATTTAATCTCTAGAAAATAAATGAAAGTCTCAAAATTGTATGTAAATTCTAAGCCTTTGATTGAATAATAAAAATTCAGTCTTATGCTTTCATTCTTATCTTTGAATCCTAACAATACAAATTTTAAAAATATTATATTTCATATTTTAAAGTTAAATTAAGATAATTTATTATTTAAGTCATAAATAGTTATTAATAAAAATTTATTAATTTGATAATACATAAATCAATCAAAAAATAATAATTATAGTTAATAAAATGATAAGAATAATTCATATATGATAAAGACCTTTTTATAATAAATATTTCATTTTTTATATGAAAAATATTTATTTTAATTATATTATAAAAATTAATATATCATATAAAAAAATATAAGTTTCATTAAGTGTTTGATTCTATAAAAATTGCACAAACACTTAATTAAGATACTTAAGGTTAAATTATATGATTTTTTTAAGAATTAAATATTTAATTAAGACACAAAAATATTATATATAAATTAATATAGGTACATATTACAAAATTATAATAAAATGCTAACATTTATATTTTATTTATTCTTTGAAAAGTAGAATAAAGGGTAAAATAAATAATGAAGTAGAATTCTTAGTGTTACAAAAATAAAGTCAAGTTATAATACGTGTATTTTGTTAACTAAATTTATTATATTATATTCTTTTAAAATTATAATGGATTAAAATATATAATCAATTATTATATTTAACATATTTATAAATTAGTTTCTATACTAAAAAAAATTATATAATAATTTTTACACTTAAAATAATTAACATTTTTGTTCACAATATTTGATTATGTTTCAGTTAATTCCTCGTTAACATCATTGTAAGTGTAGAAACTAACATATAATAAAACATTTGTGTAATAACTAAATGAATAATTTAATCAAATTTCTTTTTATGTGCCGTGTGTTGCGTCTATACAATTTGTAAAAACAAATTAAAATTGCTTGTCTTCTTGGGGGTGTTTGTACGTGGTTCCAATTTCAAAATGATTCTATCATTCCCATTTTAATAAGCATTTAGTCATCAGATTTTTATTTTATTTTTATGTAATTATCCAAGTGTTCAAACTTTCCTCCCTGTTGCTTTAAATTATCTCATTTGACTAAGAAAATTGCACTTTTCCTTGGAAACAAAGACTGCGTACTTGACTGGAAGGAAGTCCTTAATCGTACACAACAAGTTACCAATAAGTTTCATTATTATAAGAGTTTTGCAACTGATATAATATGGAATATCGTATATGATTATTTTGTTATTAGAATACTTTATTTACTTATTTTATCATGTGTACTTTTTAATATTAAAGCTATTTAATTTTTTATATTTTTATTTATAAAATTTCTTCTATTTTTTATATAAATTTTCAAATTTTTGTAAATATCTTTGTTTATATATAAAATTCATGATATTTAATATAATATTTTTGTTATTTTAAAATTATTGTAATTTTATTAAATCTTTATCATTTTGATAATATTATTTGTGATTATGATAATCAACTTGTATGTTACAAATGATGGTATTTTATTTGGAAAGTGAGACATTAAGTAAAATTATTGTTTTTCACAGTTAATTACATATATATTTTAAAATTAAAATTAACTAAAAATTATTTGTCAATTATACTCTCTCATAATATACTTGGTTTAAATTTTACATATTTTTTTATTAATTTTATTCTAAATTTTAAAGATAAATTTTTTTATTTAATTTTTGTTATCATCTTATATAAGCTTTCAATTTTTCATAAATACCTATATTTATATTTATAAATACTCCTTATTACCTTATATTTCATGGTTAGAATTAAATTAAAATAATTTTCTTAAAAAATATAATTAAAAATAATCTTAGTATATATACATATATACAATTATTTTAAAAACTTATAAAAATTTATTCTTTAATTATTAAAAATATATATTTATTGTAAAATAAAATACTACTAACTAGTTTTGTATATAAATATATCAAGAATACATCCTCACCATACAAAAGAACGTCCTTAAGTATCTCATTTAAATGTTGATGTAACATTTTTCTTATTATAAATGTAGTCTTATCACGCATTTTCTTTCTTACTTTCTTTTGGTCAATCTTATCACTCAATTTTTATACCTTATTAGAATTCCTTTTTGAAAGTTCATTATCTTGTAACTTGTCTTTTTTATAAGAGAGGCACACGGAGCCCAAATGACACAGATGAAACTGGTTTATACATGTTTAACTGAGTATGCAACTAAAATTGTGTTCTTATTTGTTTGATGATCTAATACTTACTAAAGGTTATGAAAATATAAGAAGACGTTGAATTTTACTCTTGAACAAAATTTTCCCTATACTTGAAAGCACTCAAATAAGAGAAATAAGGTAGATTATAAATTCAATAAATTACATAGTGGGGAGTTAGGAAACAGAGCAAGTTTCAAATTCTTTAGTGCAAGGATGTCCAAGAAAGTTTTCCACAGGGGAGAGTGCATGCTACTTAAAAAAAGTAAAGTGAAGAAAACAAAAATATAGTTGGTGTGATAGTGACACAACTAATTCATCTTAGAAATTAATATCCCTTCACCTATTCGGCTTCTTCTTGTAAAAAAATTAAGATTAATATAAGGATAAATTTTAAATACAAGTTTTTAATATTTTAAGCAGCATTTTTAATTAAAATTAAATTTGAGGATATTCCAGCAAGTTTCTCAGCCAAAGAATTTCTGTAATTTTTCGCTCAAAGGACATAACAAATTTTAATTGTCTATTAGTGAGAATTGAATCATTGTCTCAACCTGGAATAGAGAGAATGCCTAGGTTACATACAAAGCAAAAAAGGCACTAGCGTTTATTAACAAGAACGATAACCACGAGAAACATCTTATCATAGATAATGGATAACACTTATTGCAAACTATTATTTTTAATAAAATTAGTAATTGATCATAAATTCATAATTTTAAAATTAAATTCCTATGTTATGCAATAAAAGTTCCTAATTTATGTTAGTTTGAAGACCAACAAGTTTGGAAGTCTTCTAAACATGCACTTAGTCGTATCAAGAAAATAATCACGTAATTCTCCAGTAATACACCTTTAACTTGCTTTGGGAACGTAAAAAGTGCTCAATTTTTTTTTATAATGACCAATAATAAATTTGTATTTTTTTCATGTTTTTTTTATCTTATTTTTATATATTTAATTGTTATTTGGATAAATTCTGCACTAAATATTTCACCAATTAATTATTGCATTTTAGTATGTTAAAGAGCTCTCCTGGATTCTTGAAGTATTTTGAGCATAAATTAATAAAAAAAAAAATAGAGTAAATACATTCATGCTTCAGCGGCCAACACAAGTATGCATATTGATGTGCATATTCGTACTTTTTCTCTTTTGGTGTATCTAACTTGAAATTTTTTTAAAAATTTATAAAAAGAGAATTTGAATTTAAAATTTGAAAAATCATATATTTTTTCTCTTTTAATATGTCATATTTTTATTAAAGATAAAACATATCTCTTAAATATAACAACTATCATCTTTAATAGATTCTAAATCTTATTTAAAGAACCTTGAAGATTATGAGATATCTTATTTTTCGTTAGTTATTGACAACTTATGGAGCTTTAGAAGTGCGTCTTAAAATCAAAAACTACCTTTATCTCTTCTTCATTAAGGACTCTTCTAATTTATATTTACTTTTTGAATGATTATTGATTGATTTATTGTTTTGATTTTTATTGCATTATATCTAGCTAAAACTATAGTTAGAGTTATGGTGGATCCTTTACGAGACTCTACGTAATCTTTGTAATTGATAATAATCTTATGTTTCTTCTTGATTGATATTTATCCTATTGCACTATATTTATATGTTCAAAATTGATAACTCTTAAATATATTATAATTAATTATATTGTAGACAACTGTATCACATATAGTTAATAAATCTATAGGTTAAAACGAGATAAAGGATTAGGCGAATCAAACTTAGTTATTTTCTTGCATCGTTATTAAATTAACAACCTATAAACTTTTTATATTTTCTCTTCGTTTTTATCTTGCATGACCATTTGAGATAATATTTTACAGGATAAACTATTAGCATTGCATGATTATTAAGTATTAATAGCTTTCGTACAAATGGTTAAAAATTATAAGAAAATTATAATTAGAATTAATTTAAAAGTGAATATAAAAAAGTGTAAAAGTGAAATTATGTATCCTAAAATTTATCTTAATGAATTTATTGTTATGCTATTTTAATTGCTTTATTATTTAAATTTTTATTTTATTTTATTTTATATTTTAAGTTTAAATAATTAAATTAAAATATTATTAATATTTAAAAATAATTATTGTGAGACAACTTATTTTACAATCTTATATTACTTTTTTATCGATATACTTTTTCACAAACAAGGAAATTATAAGTATTCTAATAAACAAGGTTGAATTTAAGGGACAAGACTGAAGTCGTATCATATAAAGTTCATTAGGAAAACATTTTTCATGCACAACCATTAGCTCACCACTCACCACTCATCTTTGTGGAACTCGTGCGAAACTTTTATGAGATCTATATTCCAATACATGTAAGTGATGTGTGCATAACAGTGTCAAGATAAACAAAGTTCACTTGGTCCAAGTTAATAGTTTTTCTTACACCTCTTTGGTACGATGTGAATTTTTTGTTGTGAGCATTGAGGTTGTCACACCGCATAACGAAAATGTTTTCCATATATTTTAAGACGGATATCTTTTGATATCTTCTTTGATTTTGGAAATATTTTTAAAATGTGTAAATATGAAAAATTATAAAGATAAATTTATATTGTGTGACATATAATATTGATTTTTAAATGTTCAAATAATAAAATTGCACTTCATAATTTCTTTTTGCTAACTCTTTCTCTCTCTAACCATTATCATTAAATATTCTACACCGGCTGAGCTTAACCTTACTAAGCAATTGACTCATCCTTCTTGAGTATACATGCCATTATACTCAAATTGTTTACCAAATTATGATTCAATTTAATGCTCAAAATAATATCCATTTGCATTTTATTTAGTATGGAGAGGTTGAAATTTGTGGTCCAAAATGTACTGCTACAGCCACATCCACTTGTCTCACTGAACAGTTACCGAGGCAACCCAAAAATTTACTTTCCGCCATCTAATAAATTAATCACTTGCAAGTTGCAATAAACAAAGTTAACGGTGGACTTTTTCAAATGTGATCATCCATTTGCATGTAAAATATTCTTTCATGTATAATAATCGTACTATAAAGAAATAAACCTGAAAGGAAATGGAGATGAAATTGAAAACTCTACAAGGGCATAAAAATTTTGAATAATTCACATACTCAATACATCCTTTATTGATATTACACTAAAATAACTCTAACCTAATTTAACACTAATTTGTAAATTACAAAAATGTTAGAGAATTAATTGCTGTTCTGCACTAAAAAAAGTCAGTGTTTAACTTGTAGATCACATATCATTAACCGTTTCCAATCTCTAGCTGTTTTCTTTGTCAATGGATGACTTCAGTTTAGATCATGCAGCTGGTGACGACAACGCAGTCCTCCTGGCAGAAAATAATGTACCATCTCACTCCTTTGTAACGGTCAAATTCAAGTTACCATGTCGTTCAAAGTATTCTACCTCTCAAATTTAATAATACCCTCTTTCAACGTGTCATATGAAAAATTCAGAACTCTGGTAACTCTAATGAATCTCCAGTTCTGGTGAATATGTCATACCAGAAATCCATACCGTCATCAAATTTTGAATCATAACCATGAATGTGATGAAAAGTTTCCTCATAATTAAAAGGGTATTGAAGTGGCATCTCATTTGAGATTGTCAAAGATTTTGATGACATAGAGGGAGTTTCATCCATTGCAGCTTCTGACCAAAAACTCTCATCAATTACAGGCATTGTCTCAAGTGACTCTATGTCTTCACTCTTGATATTTTTGCTTTCACCACCCGTGACTGATGAAAAATCACTAGAACTAGTGCATGCTGATGTAGTCTCCATTTCTCTAAAATTAAGATTGGCAGGTTCTGATTGAGTTATGATGCTGGAATTGGAATCAGATCGTTTGATTTTTGGTTTATAGACTCTTTTATTGACATCTGAATTTGGTTGATCTGCTTTCAATAGCCTCTTCTTCAAATGGGTGTGCCACACATTTTTTATTTCGTTGTCTGTTCTTCCTGGTAATTTTGCTGCAATTGCTGACCACCTGAAAATAAGGATCAAAATGATTAATAATATATTCATGAAATATTTGCACGAGATTCGCGTTCATTTGTTTATTATAATGAATGAAAAAACAACAAACTTTGTTATTGTCTTAATTGTAGATTACACTGTGAATCTCATGCACATATTGGTATGTACGTCTAACACATATTGTAGTGTCATGTGCCATAAACTGTCACACCAATTTTCGTGCAAGGCAGATCTATTCAGAGATTCTTATTGCATTTGCAACCCCACCTTGTTTTGTTTTTTATTCATTGGTTCTGATGTATTACTTATTAATATTCTGTCTTTCAAATAATGACAACTAAGTCTCACGGTTCATGTACATCATTTAATAAATTTATAAATGATTGTTAATTTTTTAAAATTTAAAATTATTTATAAGCTAATATAATCCTTGGAGTGGTGAGACACTGTTTGGTTAATGGTTCTGACGATACAGGTGTTGGTTTTAACGGTTTAAAGATTGAAGTTGAGAGGGTCTCTGTTAGACACGGTGATGGCGGTGTCAATTTTGGAATGAATGGTGCTCAATGGTAAGGGGTTGAGACTGTTCATGGTATCATTTATATATAATATAACTGCATGTGTCATGAATGTATGTATATGGATACATCATTTCTCTTGACTCCTGCACTCTTTCTATGATCAATTGCACCGCCAAAGGTGGGATTATACCTAGATTTTCTCTCACAATTTATGACCCTACTCGAGTCCCCATTATGGAATAAATATTAGTTAACACAATCTTTTCGTTTTTAAATTCTTTATTTTACAATTATTGCCCCTGGCCCCCACCACTTCAATCTCGTATATCTATCGGAGAAACTTAGAAAAAGAAACACAATCGCCCATTTATAATTTCAGCAAATTAAAAAAAAAATTGAATATCAACATGTGTAAACTAAGAATTGGATGGGCGGCATATTCATGATCTTGATAAGCTTTTTGCCGAGAAGTTAACTAACTGACGTTAGCAAAATAGATAACTTTACACCCATTGAACGAGTGTAAAAAAACAAGAGAGAAAGATAAAAAAAGGTAATAGATAATACAACAAAAAAAATAAGGAAAATTGGGTGTGTTGATAGAACAATTGATGAAATTAATGTTGAGAAGGATCCGAGGAAGGAAATGAGCGAGTACCTGTTCCCCAATATCTCATGCAGCTTAATGATGTTCTCCTCTTCTTCAGTTGTGAAATTACCTCTCTTGATATCAGGCCTCAAATAGTTGATCCAGCGCAATCTGCAGCTCTTCCCACACCTTAACAGGCCTAAACAATGGATCAGAGAAATCAGAAGAACAGTAAAGTTTACAGCACTGAATGGAGATACCCAAAAGATAGTATGCATGGTGTATTAACATGGCAGAAATTGGGTATAAATTTGTTGAATTAATGAAATATATGGTACCTGCTTGCTTTGGGAGGGCACGCCAGTTGCCATGGCCATGTTTTTGGATGTATGATGTGAGGATTTGATCTTCCTCAGGAGCCCAAGGACCCTTCTTGAGTCCCATCTTTTCACAACAAGGAGCTCTCACCATCTTTACAAGATTTGATGGAAGAATTAATGTGTACACTAGTTGTAGTATATGGTAGTAATCTCACTTAGTTAGCAATAAGTTCCTTCTCGAATTCAACTTCGTTTCCAAAGAGGCATGTTGGGTATTTATCTTTGGATATTCCGCACGCCAAGACTAGAATGGTCTAAGACAAGCCAAGCATATTTCCATATTCAACCATTTAGCAGTTTCCGCGAAGGGGGACTCTCTTTCACGGACTCACGCACACACTTATAGAAATTTAATGTTATTATATTGTAATTCTTTATTCTCTTTTCAATCTTTTTCTGCATTTTCTCTTATATTATTAGTATCATCCTCATTATATTGTAATTCATATTTAATGCTATATTTATTATATGTAATATATAATTAATTTAATTAAATAGGTTATATTAAATATTATTCATTAATTATAATTATTTTAAATGAATAAAGGTTTTAATTATAAATATTCAAATATTTTTTTAAAAAAATTTTGATACTCTTAAAATATACACTAAAAAAAGAAATAACAACATTTATTTTTCACTATTAACAAAAAAACTAGCTCATTGACATGTTTTAAAATAACAAAATTCAGATGTACATTAATATAATCAACATAAAATACTAAATATGAATAATAATTTTTTATCCAGACTAATTAAAATTTTACATAAAATATTATGATTTATTTTTAATATATTTATATTTTAATTACTATCCCTTAGAATAAAATTAAATTAACAAAATTTAAATGCATATTAATGTAATTTTAAAATTATTTAAAATTCATTTTTACGTTAATAATTTTCATTGAATTTTTATTTAATAAATTTAGTTATATTAAATTGAATTTTATTTATTACAAATAAAAGATTATACACATTGTGCAACTTAATTATTGAATCCTTTGTGTATTAGATAAACACATTTACGTCTTTTTATATATAAAAAATAAAGTTATAAGAATGAAACAAACTTTAATTTACAAATTTCAAATGTAGCATTGAAAAATACAATAAACATAAAACTCGAAATCAAATAGTATAAACTTATGAATTTATTTTAAAAATTATCTGTAATAAAATATTAAATTATTTAATTAAAATAATTATCAATCTTTTCACTTTATGTTTATTGTCTCCTATATATTTTTTAAAATTATATGTATTGTATTGCTATTAATTTTTTGAAGGTAAAATATCATAATAATTTTTTAAAACATTAATTAAAATGAATTGATTAACAGTATCATTCCCTTTTATAATGGATATTATAGGAGTTATATTTATAGGAATTTTTAATTATTTAACAGTACAAAAATTAAATTTAAATCTAAATATTATTGAAAACCTGTGGTCGAATAAGTATATGCATGTTTAATTCAATTTATTTTAAAAAATAATCACCTTTTTCAAACTTTATTTTAGTTTTTTTTGTCAATTTTTTTGTAAAAAAAACCAAAGTAATTATTTTTTTAAAGTTAAATTAAAACAAATATGGAAAAAAAAACTTGTTAAAATAATAAAGAAATTGACTTAGGAATTTTATATAAATATCATAATATTTATATCTACACGATTAAAAAAATAAACTAATGATAAAAAATAATTTATATATTATTTATATAAATATTTTATTTTTGAGTGTATATATTATGATTTAGCGATCATCCAGAACCAATTTCTGGCCAAATTTTAATAACATCTTTTTCTGTCTATTTTTCTTGTCAATTTAAGTGATCTATTCATACTTTTTTTTTTATCAATTTTTTTCTTATTTGCGTGATTTTACCCCCTAATTTAAACTATTTTTGGTGACCATGTTTAACCTATTTGCGTCAATTTTTACGCACTTTTCTGCTTATTTGCATTCTTGGCTCATTCGAATGATTTTATTCATCCCTTTTTGTTTTACTCATTTGCGTTATTTATTTATTTTTGTTACCATTTGAATAATTTTTTCTCACCCTTTTACATATTTTTGTTATCCATTGGAATTTCTTTTACTATTTTTCTCATTTTTATAAAACTTTTAGCTCATTTACACACTTTTTTCTTATCTATTTTGTATGCACTTAATCACATAAAATTTAAATATTATATATATATATATATATATATATATATATATGTGTGTGTGTGTGTGTGTGTGTGTGTGTGTAATGTAGATCAAATAAAGAGAAATTATGTGTTTAAATAATATTATTTATAAACAATTTTATACATATTATTTGTATTTTATATTAAAAAAACTTTATAAAATAAATTATTTGTTAAAGTAATATACACCAAGTTAAAGCACATCTTCCAACTAATTGTACACATTTTGTATATGAAATTTTATGTGTCAAGTCAAGTCCCTTATTTTTTAACATAAACTCAAGTCTTGATTATCTTAAAGGCGAGCAATACAATACCTTATACTGTTATGATTAATTTATTCAAAACTTTACTTAGATAATTGAAAAAAAACTCAGACCAGCCAAAATAATAGTTGTTGAGAAAATTGAGTAAATGGATTTTTTTTTTTTCTTGACTTGTGAGTGAAATATATTGTCTTCATTCTGAAAAGTTGGGTTAGGTTTAGGTTAAATTGGTTTAAATTTATTTTGCAAAATATTAACAAGAGTTTGGCCTGTTGTATATTATGAATTTTCTTTTTCTGGACTTGAGCATATACTTTTGTGAAAAATAAAAACTTGACCAAACCCAAAAACATATTTAAAGACTTACATAAATTTTATTAAAACTTTTTAAAATTTTAAATTTTAGTTTGCATATTTACATAAATTAATTTAATAGAATCAGTATATTTTGAATAAAAATGATTCTATATCAACCTATAATTAATAAATAATGAAAATCTTATGAATTTTATTAAATAATTATTGATTAAGGACTTAAGGTTGTATGATATATGCATCTAATTAGAGGAATAAAACTTTATTATTGTTATTATTTATTGAATACGTGAGGCTAAATTAAATTAAATTAAACTATAAACCCTTAACAGCTGATTTGATTTATTTCAATATCTAATCAAATTATTTTTTTTTAAATTATTCCCGCAGAAATAGTCAATATCCATTTGAATAACATGTAGAATTAGTTTTCCAAAACTACAATATATATATATACTAATGTAAAATTTGTGGTATTGAGATTTTACCATGATAATTTTTGTCAAATTATAAAAGAAAGGGACACTTCATTTTTAATTTTTCAAAAGAACCTTTTAAAGATTAAAAATAGTGCAATTGGCTGTACATGTATGGAATGGAATTATATAAAAAACCCAAGTACAACTTTTAGCAATATTTTGAGCGAGTCAATTTATTCAAATAAAATATTTGGGCAAGTGGAAAGAGGGTTAAGTCCGAACCCATTGGCTAAAAACAATTAAACATGTCTTATAAAAATACATTCTCTTCATTAATTTTTAAAAAAATTCAAAGTTGTTTACAAAAAATGTTAAAATAATATATTATTTTATATTTTGTTAAATTTCGTATCGCGAATTAACTATTTAGAAGTAAGAGTAACAATCAGGTGCATTCTTAATTTAACTTATTTAAGACAAATAATTATTTTTTAACCATTTTAAATAATTTAAAAATTATATTATTTTAAGAAAATTATTTCCAAACATATAATGAAAACGTAGGAGATGTATTTAACAAAAATAAGTTTTATATAAAAATAAAAATTAAATGTATAGTGATATATAAATTTTAAAATTTTTAAAGTCGTATAAGTTTTAAAAAATCAAATAATTTTTTAATATTATTACATGATTTTTATTTTTGTAGTTTAAGTTTGGTTATTCATGATCAAATTTTATAGATAATTTTTTTATTTTTAAATAAAAGAGTATTCTTATTTTACATGTAAAATTAATAAACTTAGTTACTAAATAACTAGAGTAATAAAAATTATTTTTAATAAAAATGATTAAAAATATTATTTTATTAAATTTCACATGTGATGTCATTTTAAATTAATATTCTCTCTATATATTCATTCATATGACGTTGTCACGTGCTTTGATTTCAATAACGATACGTACTTAGTTACTCTCATCCACAAGTGAAAGAAAATATAAAAATAAAATAAAATAAAAATATGTAAGCTAACCCACGTGTATGTAGACCACATATTAAATGTTGGATATTTTAACCTGATGCTAATCTTTAACTTATTAGAAGTTATAATTAGGCTGAGACAGAATAGATATTCATAAAAAAAATGTTTATAATAAAAAAGAAAAATTAGTTATTCATTGATTTTAAATTTAAATATGAATATTTTGTAAAATATAAAATATGAGATTATAAATTTATTTAATATATAAAAAATATTTTTATATTATTATTTTATTTTATATTGTCTTTATTTTTTTATTCGAAGTGAAAGATCACAATTCGTCCTCAAAGTTAAAAACTAATCTCGCTTACGGCTTATGAGTTTTAGACACGATAAAATTCAAACACATGGCCTCCTACTAAATAAATCCATCACACATATATGTATATAATGAGATGTTATACCATTACACCTACTTTTTAGGTTATATTGTCTATATTATATTAAATTTTGATTTTTTTTAAGTTTATAAAAGTAATTTTCATACCTTTTTAATAAAAAAAATGTTTTATTGTAAATACATAGTTTAAATTAATTTAATTAGATGCATATCTTCATTATATTTAATAATTTAAAATTAATTTTTATCAAAACCATGTAATATTAAACTATATATCAAATAGATATTTAATTATAAACCTAAATCTGATTTGAGTCAATGTTATATAAGAATCTTTACCATAATAACTAATTGAAGACTCTAATTTTAGAACCTATCAAATAAGGTCCTCCTGAAACTATAATTTTTTATTAACTGTCAATATTTAATGGTCGTGTACATTATTAATCGAAATATAAGAAAGTTTAGGTCCTCGTGTGCATTATGAAAATTTCAGGCCTATAAGTTGTCAATACTGAGATGTGTTGAATTTGAATAATTTTTTATAAATTAAAAATAAATGATAAAATTTCTTATAAAAAATGAAAATTAATATGAAAAAAAAAAAATCATAAGTGAAAAATAATTTATTTCTTTAAATTTTTTAAAAATTAAATAAAAAATTTCTAAAAAATGGAAAAACATAAATTGATTTTAACTTATTAAAAAAATTAATTTGTTTTATTATTTAAATTTTT